AAGAGATTAAAGCTAGAGTTACAGACTTTGTAGGAGTTAAATTTCGTTTTGAAAGTAGGGAGGCAAACTTTGAGGCCCATGCCTTGGCAAAGGCAGCCTCGTCTCTCCCTACGGGTCGCCATCTGTGGCTAGGGAACCCGCTAGACATTATATGTATTCCTCCGGTTTTGGCTGATCAATAAAATCCCTAGTTACACCTAAAAAAACTATCTTAATTAACAAAATGAATTGATTAAATATTGGCAAACATGTAAAAGAAGCTTACTTTGTGGATTTTTTTGACGCGTCAACGGCGGGCTTACGCCGGCGTGAACTTATATTGCCAAACCAAAGTTGTTACAGAAGAGAGTTACAGGAGGGGAGGGAAAGAAGGGCAGAAGAAGAACTAAAAAAAGATTACATAGGTCTAAATTCTCGCAGCCAGGTGGGACAACATAGTACCTCCAGTCCCAGAGAAGCGACTGACGTTGTGTATTGCCACATCGGTGAGACCAGAGAGCAAGGTGGTCCGCCGCGGCCATGGCAATGTGGTGGATGCCCAGAGTTTCGTTGCGGAAGACTTTTGCATTGCGATGTTTCCAGGTGTTCCAAAGGATAGCAATTATCACCGTCGAGCGCACCTTATTAGTCATAGTGCCTCCCTAGATGCCCTCTAGGTCGTCCGTAGGCCCAACGCAAAGGTTGTCCAGCTCTTCCCAGAGAGGTCGGAGAAGAGTGCATCTAAGGAGAAGGTGGGCGATGCTCTCACGGGCACCACAAAAAGGGCAAGCATCAGAGGTTGCGATTTATTTGCGGAGTCGTCTCTCGTTGGTGTAGACGCGGTCCTTGTGGGCGAGCCAGAGGAAGATTCTGCATTTCTTAGGAGCGTAGTTCCTCCATATTGCCGCAACCATTGGGTCCGTTGTGGTGTCTTTCCAGACCGCCGAGTAGGCGAGTTTGGTGGAAATGCGTTTGCTCTCCCCCCTGCATATTCTTTTGTCTGGTACCTGTGTATCCAAGTGAACTGAGACTAAAAGAGCACGCAGAGCAACCAGTTCAGTTTCCGCTGCGTGGGATAATCGAGGAGCCAGGTCTAGATTTAGTTTCATGGAAGCAAGCACCCGAGCTGTGGAGGCGGCCTGTCTGGTTGAATGTGAAAAGAGATTGAGGAAGTACAAGCTAGAGAAGTTTGGGTGTTGGGGACCCAAAGGTCGTGCCAGAAGGAGGTGGTAGTTCCATTGCCCACGGTTACAGAGGTGATTGCCCGGAAGAATTCCAAGCCTTTGAGAATATCGCGCCAAACCGGAGTAGCCGAGGGGTTGTAGGGTTCTAGGTCATGGCGGGGGACCATACATACTTGTTAATGATATAGCTAGAAGCGGTAGGGAGGCCAGACTCATGGAGAGTGGAGAGGTGTTTGAGAAGCAAGCAGAGGTTCATGTGTTTGAGGGACGAGAAACCTAGCACCCCCTTCGAGAAGGGGGTACATAAGAGGTCCCAGGCCACTTTGCATTGCCCGCCCGTGGTAGTGTCTTGCCCAGAGTAGAAGAAGGCCCTACATCGTTTGTCAATCTCCTGTAGTGTTCCTGCCGAAAGAAGAAGCGCACTCATTGCGTAGATCAGCAAAGCCCGAAGAGCAGCACGGACGAGGATTGCTCTACCCGCTAACGCGAGGAGGAGACCTCGCCAGCCGGCTAGACGCCGGTCAATTTTATCGATGAGGAAGAAAAAGGCATAGATGTTTAGCTTAGAGGTTGACAGGGGTAGACCTAGATAAGAACGAGGAAGGATGCAACAAGACAGCCTAGAATCGTCGCTAGGTTAGAAGAGTGTGTTGGGTCGATGTGAATGGGGGCAAATGTGCTTTTGTGGAAATTGATGTGCAGACCGGTGGCTTCAGAGAATTGACCAAGAATGCGTTTTAGGTGGTTTAGCTGCTCCTCGATGGCCGGGAGAACAATCAAGGTGTCGCCCTGCGTATTGGAGAACCAGACAGGGGAGAGAGTCATCGAGCGGGTGAGTGAGCTGACCCGAATCGAAGTCCTGGATGATCAAGCGTTGCAAAACATCGGCGACAATCATGAAATGATAAGGAGATAACGAGTCACCCTGTCACAAGCCTTTCTTGCAATTGAACCAAGGGCCCAGTTTACCATTTAGCAGAATTGCTGATGTGCTGGACATGTTGAGACATGAGATCCAACGCTCCCAAAGCAAAGGGAAGCCCTTGGCGTGAAGAATGGTAGTTAAGGCGTCCCAAGAAACTGAGTCAAACGCCTTTTGGAAGTCTAATTTTAAAACAATGGCTGGGACCTTACGTTTGTGGCAAGTCTGAACAATGTCCGCTGCAAGCAGGAAATTTTCCGCAATGCCCCTGCCTCGGATGAACCCCGTTTGCCCATAGTGGATAAGGTCAAGCATAAGATCCTGGGTCCTATTTGCTAGGCACTTGGAGGCTAGTTTGATGGCGCAATTTTGCAGGGAGACTGGCCTGAAATTTTCAGGCTGGTTGGCGCCCAATTTCTTTTGAAGCAGGATGATGAAAGCTTTATTGATACGGCGGAGATCCGCCGAGCAGTTGTGGAAATCCATGAGAAGGCGGTGCAAGTCCTCTTTAACGAGGTTCCAATTGGCTTTGCATAATGCTGGCCCAAACCCGTCCGGACCCGGGCTAGCATTGTCATCCATACCTCAAAGGGAGAGCCTAATTTCCTCAAGAGTGAACGACCTGACAATGTTCCTAGCTTGGGAAGAGAAGAGAGACGAGGGTATCAGCAGGGTGTCCAGATCAAAAGAAAAGGATGTGGGGGTGATGGAGCCAACAAGGTTTTTGAAAAACCCCAAGAGAATACGTTCTTTGTCCACATGCAAGGTGAAAGAGGAACCAACCACCGAGAGAGATTTTATCTGATTCTTGCGGTGCCGAACGGACGCACAGACATGAAGGTAGGAGGAGTTTTCTTCACCGACGACGCAATCCCGAATCTTAGCACGCCGCCTCCAGTACATGGCAAGATCCGCGTTAATTCTGTGGAGGGAAAGTTTGACGGCCATCCTAAGGCGAAGTTCAAGGGCCGAGAGGGGGTGAAATTCTTCGAGCTTGTTGAGAAGATTAATCGTAGTGTGGCAATTCTTTGCCCAGATGGAGGGTATCCGAGAGTTCACGGACCACTTTTTGGCCATGTTACGCGTGCGTTTTAGGCGGAGAGCAAGCATGCCAATCGAGCCCCTATGACCATACCACAAGTTGACACTAAGCCAATTTGCCGCAACTTGCTCTTTGAAATGAGGGTTAGACAGGAGGGCGTTGTTTAGTCTGAAAATAGAGGATTTGGGAATTTGGGTCGCGGCAGAAAGATTGATCTGGACATGATCCGAGGTTGATCTAGTGGTCAAGGTGAGAGAGTTGTCCGGGGATTTTTGGGCCCAAGCCACATTAATGAGTGCGCGGTCTAGCCGAACCAGGACGGGCACATCTTATTGGTTAGATCACGTGAAAAGACGATCGAGAAGAGAAGAGGGAGGTCTTGAAGCTGCATAGATTGGATAGATGAGGAAAACATAAGGGCCTCATTACTGTTGAAGTTGGAAGATGATTTGTCGGAGGGACGAAGGGTTGAAGTCGCCTATGATCGTCCAGGGGCCCGAGATAGTCAAGGAGAGGTCGAAAATAGAGTCAAGGAAGGCACGTTTGTTAGCAGAATCGCAAGGGCCGTAGACGTTAGTGACCATGAAGGAAAGATCATCAGTTTTAGACTCGAAGGAGCAGGATAGGTAAAACTGGTCTTTAATAACCTTAGTGCAGTCCCAGATATTGCAATTCCAGGCCGTAAGGATTCCTCTGGAGGCGCCACGGGATGGGAGAAAGTGAAGCTCCCGTAGGTTAGGGGGCAAAAAAGTCATGGCCTTGAACCGGTCTACGTCCTGAAGCTTGGTTTCCTGGCAGCAAATGATGGAGCAAGAGGTCGCGGCGATGCCGGCTTTGACATCAGTGCACTTCTTGTGTCTACCTAGGCCTCTCACATTCCAAGAAGATAAGACAAGGTTCTTAATCATTGGACCGGTTCAATACAACATGGTAGGTACTAAGATGACAGTAGATTAATAAGGCGGTGGCACCGTCGGTTACATGACATGGAAACTGATAAGAAGAAGAAAGCGAAAAAGAGAAGGATACATATGCTTCCTCAATACAACGTAGGGGGAGAAAGCATGAGCTAGCTTGAGAACGAAAAGGAAAAAAGGGAAAGAACTCTAGAGGGTAGGCTGGCCCGCACGCCCTGCAGCAAAAGCAACCAAGCCTAAGATAGCTTGCAATTCTGCAGTGAAGAATATTGTGCACTGATGAAATGTGATGCTATTTCAGAACTACACTAAACATCCAAAACATATACAACCCTCATATTTGAAAGATACACCTCTCCATTATTATTTTCCTCTTCCAGAAGTATTCTGTAACTTTGCATGACATAATGTAACTTCTACACTCTGAACCTGCCAACATGAGCATTTTATGAAGATGGCAATGCACCACCATTACACCAGAGAGCAAAAACTCTTAACCTAGAAATCAAAGAATCTGCAATAAAAGTATCACATATCAAATCTTCTGTACAACAATTATTTCCACTCCATTTTCCCAAGATATCCACTCCTAAAGATAATCATGCCTATTAATACAGAAATTATGGGCAGCAACATATCAACAACAAAAAATCGGGGATTAAAACCAGATATCAAAAGAGCTGTAAGACAAGAGATTGTGAGTTGGAGTTAAGACAAAGAGTGTGGTTTTCGGTAGGTCGCGTTACATGCTACAAAAGATAGGGAGTAGAAGAGAGGCAATTAAAAAGGACATGTGCATGGTGCATAGTGAATGAAAATTTAGTATTTTATACAAACTCTGGCCAAAGAGTATTTTGTACACCTCTCCATTATTACTTGACATAAGGAAGAAATATGACACTCGGAGGGCTCTCTGCGGATCGTAGCGGTGTGGTGGTACGAAGGGGGCGAAGCAATCACATCTTGCCTATAACTTCATCGAGAATATCGCACACAATAAGTGGGTGATTTTTCTGTAATTGCTCAAATCCCTTGGTTTTTTTAATGTCTCGCAACCTATGACGGTCTTTTGCCATATACTTGAGACAACAATCCTTGAGCTGCTGACAATTGTATTGCTGTGCCAGGTCCAAAGTGAAGCACACTGAATCGGCATCTATCGCGTTGCTCAGCTTGCTCGCGCACATCAGTTTCAGTCTTTCCACCGCGTATCGGTCAGCCACGACGAGCAGATGTTGCGCCATGCTTGTGGCCTCTTTCGTGGTCTCCTCCATGAAGTCAGGCAGGCAATCCGTGTACATGTAATGGATGAGGGCCTCGAAAACCTTGGCATCCATATCCTTGATGCAGATGCTGCTTTGCTTGCTCTCCTTCATTGAGCCACCCAGTTGTGCGCGGAAGACCGGCGACCGGGCACCCAACAGGCAGGCATGCACCTTGAAACTCTTGGCTTTTCTGCGAGGACCCCTGAGACTCGTGGAGGAACCGATCTTGACAGTCAGGTCTGCCTTGAGGCCGCTCTCCAGAAGATAGCCGAGATGTGTGCCCAAGTTGGAGGGCGGCACGATGATCTGACCCTCGTTCAGACGGGCGTAGTTGTCGATGAATTCGGAGACCTCGACGGTGCACTTGATCACCAGGCAGTCATCCTTGAGGCACCCGGACGCGGCCAGATCGGCTTTACTGACGAATCTAGCGTAACCCCAGCCGCCAATTTCGCTGGACAACAACTTTCTAGGCCCGACGCTTCGTTTGTTCTTCTCCCCCGTAGATGGAGATGCAGGATCCTGGAGGCAGAAGAAGCCGGACGCCATGACCTCGTCGGGGCTCAACAGCCTGAGGTATACGGAGGTGCTGTCCGCGACTCCCCTCTCGCCGTTTGGGTAGTAGCGGATGCACCAGTTGGCGCCGCCAACGCGGAAGGTCGACGTGAGATGGGTTTGGCCTGAGACCAAGGAGTGCCCCGCCGGTGTGGACGACCACCGTTGAGGAGGTCTTGCAGGTTGCCATGGCCGCCGCCGCCGCCGATGGCATGATCAAGTGGTTCCTCAAGGACCAAGTACATCGATCTCCATTTATTAGAGGGAATCGATCTCCATATATATATATCGTTAGCTATTACTAAGCCTTTAATTACGCTCGCATTGTTGAAAATTAACCCAGATAACGTGCCGGTTGAATCGGTGATTGATTGGGAGCGCATAATCAACGGTATCTATATAATGATCTTGATTCCTGAATCCTGATACGACACAATATATCGAGCATGTCAAGTTTGAAGTGCACCTAGATCTTTAAAAAAAAAAGGGTGCACCACGATGATTTGACCGTTTGAGGGCCAAGTATTGTACTACCACTACTAGAAGAACGCCCGTGCGTTGCAACGGGACCACATTAACTTTAAGAGTTCAATATCAGTTATGTTAATATTACATTTAATATTTTCATACTATCAAATAACATTGGCGATATTTTTTACCATCAAATTTTCACACACACTCTCTCCCTCCCTCTTCCTCACTCTCTCTTCTGGTTAAACTAATGCGGGAAGAGACTGGGTTAACTATACCACATTAACCGCCGTCCGCCATGGCATTTGCAGGGGTAGCCACCGAGCTCCTCGGATTGACCCCGTGGCACATGCCCGCTCCTATGTGCGTCCATGCCCGAGCCTGCTGCTCTTCTTCCGCGCCCGCAGGGCCACTCCCTCTCCATGCCCACGCCTGTGCCACACCGCGTCGATCGCGCCCGCCACTGCCGTCGCGCTCGCCGCAGCCACCGCACCATTGTGACCCGCGCGACTCACACCCTGGCCACGCGCCACATTCTCGCTAGTTGCGCTCGCCCCGTCTGCTGCCGCCTATCCCTTCGCTTGCCCCGCAGTCGCGCCCCTGCCTCGCGCCCCCTCCTATCACGGCCATCTTCTGCCGGCCGCCCCCTCAGCCACGCCGGCCGCTTGCCTCGCCTGCTGCGTGCTGCTTCCTACTACTATGCGCTGCTCTACCGCAGGTAAGCTGCTGCGCCATGTCCTCGACACCGCCGTGGACAAACATGGCGGAGGGATTGTCAATGGAGTACGAGGAGGAGGTGGCGGAGAAGGTGTGGAGAGGCAGGAGGTCTGGGGTGGCGTCAGCTGGCTGTGGTGGAGGGATTTATGCGAGAAGGAGCCGGAGCGGAAGGAGAGGTCACAATTGGAAAGAATCGCAAAAAAAATCATAACCTGAAGATCTCATTCCAAAAAAATGCTAATATCGATGGAGGGGTGATTTCCTTCTATAGATGAAAAACATAGGAAATATTGGTTGTTATCAAGGAAAGGTAAAATTTTAGGCAAGTTAGGATTTTGAACTAATTTCTATGCAAATGGTGTTTTATTGTTTGGTAACGTGATATCAGTACCTGCCCGTTTGTGACATGTCTGATTAGAAAAGTTTGCAAATGTTAAGAAACTATTTATTGGGAGGAAAGTTTGTGACATGTCTGTTATTTGTTTCCTGAAAATCTGTTATTTGTTTCCTAAGATAAATTGAACCAATAAAAGGAATTGATTGATTTGCATAATTTAAAAAAGTTAGATCAGTGATTTGTTATACGTTAGGAAAGTTTTGCTTGTACTCCCTTCGTCCGAAAATACTTGTCATCAAAATGAATGAAAATGGATGTATTTAGAATTAAAATACATCTAGATACATCCCCTTTTATTCATTTTGATGACAAGTTTTTCCGGACCGAGGGAGTAATAAAGAATGGAGAGAAAAATAAACCGGTGAACTAGGGTGGGAGGGGGTGGTGGGAGAAGAGACGAAAAAAATTAGTGAAAATAAACCGTGAAGACTATTCACCAACTGCTTCATTAAAAGTAGAGACTGGAAAAATCGTCGTTCTCGAGTTCTTTACAGTTTGCTGAGTATCGGAACACGGGATCACGGGAAAAGGAGTGTTTGTCAGGTTTGCCTCTTGGCGAACAACAGGACACGGCACATGGGAGATACTACTGAGCCCCATCTTGGACGTACTCGGCAAACATGAAAAAACTCGGCTTATGCGCAATATGCCGAGAACATATTCGAAGGAAGCAGGCAAATAGGTGCCACGTGGCACGGCCATTTATAGCGGATGGCTCCGTGACGGTGGAGAACCATTGCCGAGAAACTTGCCAAAAGAACTCCGCTTAGTCGTAATATGCCGAGAATGAAATCGAAGGCACCCGGCAAACAGAGGCCATGTGGCATAGCTGATGGGCCCATGACCGTGGGTAACCTTTGCCAAGAACCCGACGGAAGATACTCGGCAAACTATGCGGTTTTTAAGAGCATCTTCACCAGTGGCTGTAAAAAACACGTGCGCAGGACGGTTTCACGCGCTCCAGCGGCGGCAGGAAATTCAGGCGCACGGAAAAAGATTACGCGCGCACACGAAAAAGCGGTCGGGCGCACACTAGTTTTGGTGTGCGGCGTCCGGCGCGCTTTATAAATGCAGCACCCGCCACGCGCCATTCCACCGCTCTCCACCTGGCCACTCTCCCTCTACCGCTCTCTTCCCAGCTCTATCTCGCCTTGCCACCGCCGCGCCGCCGGGAAGTTTCGGGCTACCGTGGCGTCCGTGCGGGCCCCTCCGGCGCCTTCTTCGCCGAGATCCGGTCCGAAGAGATGCGCCTCGGCCTCGGCACTTTCGACACCGCTCACGAAGCCGCCCGCGCTTACGACGCGGTCGCGTGGCGCCTCCGAAGGCCTCGTAGGGACATGAACTTCCCCGACGTGTCGATGCGGGAGCGAGCGCAGGAGCTCGCGCCTCCCCCGCGGCTTATCACCGATGAGGATCGTCGTGACAACCGAAGGTGGGAGCGCCGTCTCGGCCTCGCCGAGATGGACGAGGAATCTATAGCGTTGTGGCACGAACGCTTCCCGCAAGACATCATCAACGAGCATCAGTTGTACGCGCAAAGGAGGGCGGAGCGAGCCGCCTATCGCGAGGACAAGAATACGCGGAAGGCGGCCACTCAATTCAACATCGACCTAGGAGCAGCGTCGTCCTTGGACTCCAACGACGATCGGTACCTTGACGCCTTCATTGAGACGTCGGAGGAGGACATCACCGAGGCGGAGTTGTAGTCGGAGGAGGAGGACGACGAGGAGTAGTTGAACTATCTTTTTTTATCTATCTAGGCTATGAAATATCTATGTATCGTTTTATCTATCTAGTACCTTTTTATTTATCTATCTATGCCTATCATATCGAGTCGGAGTCGAATGTGTATCGAGTCGGAGTAGAAGGAGAAGACGCGAGTAGTAAAAATATAGCGTGTCTGCTGGAGCGGTGTGCGCGTGCAATGTTTTGCAGCGGCCGCTGGAGCCAGCGCTCCGCGGCGCGCAAAAACTGGCTATGGAGGCGTTGAACGTTTTTTTAGCGCGCCGCGTGTTGCGCGCCTGTTGGAGATGCTCTAAGCCACAACTCACATAATTCTATTGATCGGGGCAGGTCGTGGCTCGTCCCCTTCATGGAGGTTGTGCGAAAACATGACCTTCTCCCACGAGGGATCTAGCTTTGTAGGGGGGTGCGTCTGGTTTATGAAGGGGGTGTGGGGCCCATTCCTTCATTGACCTCGAAACTTTTTCTGCGCTCATATGGTTCCGGTCTAAGACATGTGTCAGGACCTAAGCTTTTTGGAGGGCCGCCAACCATATTTCGTGCATTTCCCGCATTTTTAATGGTTTATGCCAGAAATTCAAGAACGGGGCAGCGTCCACATGAAATCATGGACCAAAATGGCTGGGAGTCCCTGATGCAGTCTTCGGTCCAGGCCCAGGCCCTGCGCACACAACCGAGAGGGTGGGCCCCATGGGGGTGGGGGCATGAGGAGGCCATCGACGCGCGTATGTTGCCGTTTAAATCTCTGAAAATTCACGGGAGCCCGGAAATTGACGGGGCCTGGTGCGGCGTCTTCACACGGCCCCTGGAGGCCATGGTAAAAATCTGAGGTTGTTTCGAATACGCCTTCACGGAGGTTGGGTGAAAACGTGACCTTCCCCCACGAGGGATCTACTCCAAGTCGAGAGAAATCAGATCGGGTGGAGTTGGATGAAGAACTTATTTGTCCTAGTTGTGATCATTCTTAGTGTAATGCTTGTGTGGTCGATGTAACACAAATGGGTGATATTGAGATTTTTAGTGACTACCCTAGACTTGTTTTGATGCTTTAGTTAGTTTGATGAAGAACTTGGAACTTGTTATGATGCTTTAATTAGCTTGGTGAAGAACTTGGAACTTGTTATGATTCTTTAGTTAGTTTGGCGAAGAATTTGGGACTTGTTATGATTCCTGTGCATTTGCTATGTTGATGTATGTATATGTTTTTTGTTGCAGGGCTGATGCAGAAACAAATGAAACTGAACATATGATTCAATATTTGTCGAGTACACAACTGGTAAACACTAATTTCCAAGAACGAAGCTCGGCAAATAGTCCACGTGTCTGTTCTGATAGCCTTGTTAGAACTTTGCCGAGTACACATAAGGGGGTCTCGACAAACCTTGGTCATTGGGGCTTGCCTGGGCACGTGACCACCAAGTGGGAGTACTCGGTAAAGACCAAGTTAGCCGAGATCAAGCGGGCCATTCTTGGCAAACTGTGGCAGCCACATGGCTCGCTGCTGGCCTTCCAAATTCGCCGAGTCCCCTACCTTGGCTCTCGCCAAAAACGCCTACCACGTGGCAGCCGCCGTCTCCATAAGGCCCCTCAAGCTACTTTACTTTTTTGTGTTGAGTCCT